ATATATATATATATATATATATATATATATATATATATATATATATATATATATATATATATATATATATATATAAAGTTGTGTATAACAAAAAAAAAAACTCGTATAAATCCCCCCATAGGAATCCTTTTTTCAAGACATTGAGCTCTTACAGAAACATGGAATTGTAAGTAATGTTAATGTTACTGTTAAGTTTTTAAAGTCATGAAATTGTCATCATGAAGGTGGCTCTGATTCATATCCCTCTCTCTTAAGAACATGGCTGACATTAAGAAACTGAAGTCTGTAGGCATTTGTACTGTGAAAGGCATCCAGATGACCACACGCCGTGCTCTCTGTAATGTAAAGGGACAGTCTGAGGCTAAAGTTGACAAAATAAAGGAAGCCGCTGGAAAATTGCTGGTAATTTGATGGGGCTTCCTGGAATGTATATAACAAATTTATTTGATGAAGGAGACTGGACTTATGTATTGTACAGTCATTACATTTTGTCTCTATGCATTCAGATATGTGGATTTCAGACAGCGTCTGAATACAGTACAAAAAGGAAGCAAGTGTTCCACATCACAACAGGCAGTCTGGAGTTTGAGTAAGAAATAATCTGTTTAATAGTCCTAAAATACAAAGCCCCACAGATTAACAAAACTAGATATTGTGTAATAAAATGAGGGAAGGAATTAATAAGAACACAACCACAAATTAAGTTGTGGGAACAAATTCTTAATTTGTGGCCACAAAATCCATATTTCCTATGTCATGTATGGAGCTCTGTACTTAATAAGGGTTTAACATTTTGTCTGCTAGAAGTCACATGAAAGCAGAAATGCTTTATTCATATTTTGTTTAGCAAACTCCTAGGAGGAGGTGTGGAGAGTATGGCCATTACAGAGGCTTTTGGTGGTAGGGTGCTGTTATGATTACGTACCAAAATTATATGTTATGCATTTTCTGTCCAAAATGACATGTTTTTATAAATCGTTTCCCATGCCTCATTCAGAATTCAGAACTGGAAAGACTCAACTCTCTCATACACTGTGTGGTAAGAGCAAAAATGGATCTTGTGGAAATGTTAAATGTGGAATTTAAGTCTAATCTTAAGATCATTACTGTCACTCTATTTCTCTTTTTCTTAAGTAACCGCTCAGCTTCCTGGTGAATATGGGTACACAGGAGGAAAGGTCATCTTCATCGATTTTGAAAACACCTTGTATCATTTCTGCATTTGCTTGCTTTGTGCCACATTCATTTTTCTAAACCTATTCAATATGGAGAAGCCATATTGAACTTTTTCTCCTTAATAATTGGAACACCAGTCGGCCTGAGAGGCTAAAGGACATAGCTGACAGATTCAGTGTGGATCATGAAGCTGTACTGGATAATGTGCTATATGCACGTGCATATACGAGTAAGAACTTTCATCTCAGAACTTTTTATCTTAGTTTTGAAATGTTGTTTAACAGGCTAGTCAATGAGGTCACAAAGAGTGGTGTTTTTATTTTTTATCAGCCTGTCTTTTTCATTAATAGGTGAGCATCAGATGGAACTGTTAGACTTTGTTGCAGCCAAGTTCCATGAGGAAGGAGGTTTCTTCAAGCTTCTGGTAAGATACAATACACATTCTGAGGTTTAAGGAAGTGATTTTACTTAATTTTGTGGCCATCAACAATGAATTTTCCACAGATAATAGACTCAATCATGGCTCTGTTCCGGGTGGACTTCTCTGGAAGGGGTGAGCTGGCTGAGAGACAGCAGAAGCTTGCACAGATGCTCTCCAGACTGCAGAAGATCTCTGAAGGTGTGGAAAATGATCTACCATATATATTAATGAGAATGAAGACTGCTCGTGTAATGGACATGACAATGAAAATGATGGTAGTTAGTCTTATCTTTAGTTAAGTAAGCTTATGATTTAGACATGAGAACTTTATTTTCTGACCTTCACTTAATTAGTAATATCTGTCATTTTTTTGGATATAGAGTACAACGTTGCCGTGTTTGTTACCAACCAGATGACTGCAGATCCAGGAGCTGGAATGACGTAAGTAGGAACACAAAACAAACCGGAAAGAGAATTTTGGGGCATTTTGAACAGATTATTATGATCTTAGATTTCAAGTGGATCCCAAAAAGCCCATTGGTGGACACATACTGGCACATGCCTCCACCACACGCATCAGCCTGAGGAAAGGACGTGCTGAATTGAGAATTGCCAAAATATTTGATAGGTAATTTCAAGATTTTCTCAGTAACACTTTATAATAAGGTCCCATTCCGCAATATTAACTAATGCATTGACTAACAATGAACATTAAAATTGTTATAGTACGGTGTGTGTATGTTCACTGCTGTGTGTGTGCACTTTGGATGGGATAAATGCAGAGCACTAATTCCAAGTATGGGTCACCATACTTGGCCACATGTCACGTCACTTTCACTTTCTTTTTCACAATTACGGTATGATCAAAGGGCCATGTTAGATAATGATCATTTCAAAGACCATTTTTGTTGGCTGTTTTCTGTATTTTTTTCTCTGTGTTTTAATAAGTCAACCTTGAATCCTGTGTCCACTAAACACAAACATGTTCATGTGACTGTCTCCAAAGCTGCAGTGGAGAATGGAGAGACAGATGCCAGCACAGTGGAATGACAGTTGTCATAAACATGCATAAAACCTCCTTCATATTCATGACATCTGTCATGTCATGATTATGAAGGTGTCATGTCAGTCTTATGCACACCCCTTCAAGTAAAGTGTTACCAATTTTTCTCTTCTTCAGGTCATCTCTGCCAGAAAGGGTGAGTTTGAGACCGGTTTTGAAAAGGGAGGTCAGACAAGGGAGCACGCCATGCTGGCTAAAACAGCTGGAGTCAAACATCTGATAGTCCTCATCAACAAAATGGACGATCCCACTGTGAACTGGAGTTTGGATAGGTGAATAAAATAAAATTTTTGTTCTTGTATCTTGTCCATCTTTTACCAATTACCTCACATTTTCCCACAGATACGAGGAATGTAAAGAGAAGTTAGTGCCATTTCTGAAGAAGGTGGGCTTTAATCCAAAGAAAGACATTCACTTCATGCCCTGCTCTGGAATGACTGGAGCCAACCTGCAAGAATCTTCTGAGCTTTGCTCTTGGTACACGTAAGTATTGCATGTCATTTTCAGGCTACCGTGAAAATATGAAGGTGAAATCAAATCACAATTAACTCTGAACTTTTATAGGGGATTACCGTTCATTTCACATCTGGACAGCCTGCCAAACTTCAACAGATCCAGTGATGGTCCCATCCGATTGCCTATTGTAGATAAATACAAGGTAAATGAAATATGGTATTGATACCTTGATATTTGATGTCAGGTTTAATGACTTTGCAATGTTGACAGATACTAGAAGAGCTAGATGCAATATCACTAAGTACATTTGCATAAGCAACATGCTCCTCAAAACCGCATCTGGTGCTCTGAAATATTATGCTGAGTGTCTATCAAGAGTGTCCAAATACTGCTATTGTCTCAGTTTCTGCTGATGATTTCCAGTTATTTTAATACCACAGCATGAGGGAGTGTTTTGACTGGAAACTTTCTAGTATAATGGAAGGAGGAAATTGTTTTCTCAGTGGTTCTCTTCCCATTGAGACTAAATGTGCGAGGTATTATGAAACCAATAAGCTAAACTAGGTCCTGTGTTCAGCACATGTAATGAGATTAAGTTCATTAAGTTAATTAAAGCCTTACTTAGTTGCCTTGCTAGAGCTGAGGGTTACCATCAGATTTAAGTGTCAGTAATTGGATAGGAAGATCTTCAAATACGCTTTTGGCACGCAAATAGATTTAGTGTTTTCTTATCTTTGATAAAAAAGTACCAATGTTAAAATATACCAGTGTTAAATTGAATATGCACCGACATTAAAAATTCTGTCTGATAAACCAACACACTCTTGCGGTAGTTTGTAACTGTTTGACATTTCAAAGTCGTCATGGTTGGGTAATCTTCTATAATGGTGAACTCAAACTACAACATATATAATTTCTGCCCCAATAGTAAAAGAACTTTCTGTGATTTAATACCACGGTGAGAAGGTTAGAGTTCTAAAAGTACATTACATTTTTATAAATGAAAATGTAAAAGAGAATGTAGCTTTTTTTGGTGGTTAGATTTAGGCATGAACCTTCATACCTACTTGTTCCTAAAATTTGTAAGCTTTTTTTTTTTACAAAGTAAATCATACAAATTCAAAATGTAAAATATTTATAGCTATATATGTTATAGCTGGCATTAAAATTGCTATACTAGTTTTCTAAATGAAAAAAAATGTCCTACAAGTGAATGCATTTATAGTAAAAAAATGTATATTCACATTGACGTTTGCTAAAGATTATTGGTGTTTTTTATGATTAACTTTAAGTGAGCGTTAAATGATGGCAAAGGTGGCAAAAATTAAATATTTAATAATATTGTCCAAAACTGATAAAGTAATTTAAAAAAAACCCCTCTAATATCAGCAAATAGAGTCCATAATGCTCCTTTATAATCTTTTGTGTAGGACATGGGCACCGTGGTGCTTGGAAAACTGGAGTCTGGAAGTATCGCGAAAGCACAACAACTTATTATGATGCCAAATAGGGTAAGACTGTACAAAACAGTACAATTTGTTGTTATCGCAACCATTATGAATCTTAGCCATTATCTCAAAATGTCTAAAACATTGTTTGTTCTGGTTTCCCAGCACACAGTGGAAGTGTTGAGCCTTCTCTCTGATGATGTGGAGACGGATTACGCTGGACCTGGTGAAAACCTGAAGCTCCGGCTCAAAGGCATTGAGGAGGAAGAGATTCTCCCAGGCTTTATCCTATGCAACGCTGAGAACCTCTGCCACTCAGGACGCACTTTTGATGCCCAGGTAAGGATTTCAACACTGACAGGGAGAATATTTTGTTTAGTTATTTTATTTTGACACTTTTTTTTTGTTCTTGTCCACAGATTGTCATTATTGAACACAAATCCATAATATGCCCAGGTTACAATGCAGTACTACACATCCATACCTGCATAGAAGAAGTGCAGATAACAGTAAGTCATTTTGAGTGCATTCAGATGTAAAAACAGCTCTATGGTTTGATAGCCTAAAATATGTTCCTAAAACCCTCCACAATTAGGCGTTAATCTGTCTGGTGGACAAGAAGACAGGAGAAAAGAGCAAGACTCGTCCACGCTTCGTCAAACAAGACCAAGTATGCATCGCCCGTCTTAGGGCCGCAGGAACTATCTGCTTAGAGACTTTTAAAGACTTCCCTCAAATGGGACGTTTCACCTTGAGAGATGAGGGTAAGATATTAAGAAATTCTAATGTGACAGATCAAACATCACATTTTCAGCTGTTTATATCCCAATGACAGATATAATGTTCTATCTAAATACTAAAATGAAAGACGTTTTATGTTATCTTTTAGGAAAGACAATCGCAATTGGCAAGGTGCTGAAGTTGGTACCTGATAAGGACTAAAATGCAGATAGAAGGAGTTCCCTGGTGCACTCTGGGATTGAGGAGGATGCAGTGATGTGTGCCTGCCAGATGTCCTCCAAACTGCTCCATCTTCCCACTGTGGATCAGTCTAAGAAAATTACTTTGGAAAAAGGACATTATCAAAGTGACAGTATCAATTTTAGGAAGAACATTAATATAGAAAGACATGCTCAGTGTGACAGCTTTCTCATATTGAGAGCTCAGCTATGCCACTCATGTAGCCCAATTTTTAAAGCCAGTTTCTCTCCACTGGTACATATTCAATCTCAAAATGGATGCAGTTTTCGTTTAAGGTATTGGCTTTTTAAGTTTATGTTAAAATATGAGAGAGGGAGTCTTGGTGTCATCTGTTTGAAAGGTTAATGCCATTACTGTGTGCCCCATTCCAAACATAACACTCAGATCACTCACTTGCTCTTTACCTGGCAAGTCCTGCAAGTGTCGTGATTGTCGAGATCAGATCGTACAAGAGACCTTGGTCTTTCAAATAAAATGACACTTGTGTAGAGGTGTAATCATGCACAAGATAAACAGATGAATTTGTTTACTGTGATGTCATAAACATGGGGAAGTAAACATCAAACTTCCAAAAAAATAAAACGCTAAAATGACTTCAAATGAAAATGGAGAACATTTGTGTTCAATGTCCTGGAACATACATTGCAGTTTAGTAATTCGGTAACACTTTAGAATAATGGTGCGTTGTTAACAAGTAACTATGCAGGAAGTAATAGGTACTACTACATTAACACTTAACTTAATACTATTAACTAATAGAGAAGCAAGATTAACTAAGCAGAAAGTAGTAGCAAATTTAGGACAAAGGTGGTTCCTTATCAGATATTTGATAATTACAAAAAGAAAATATCCTCATTGAGAACTACTTGCGAACTATGACCAGTTAATAAAGAATTACCAATTAATTGCTAATCACAACAGTCTTAAAAGTGAACAATTGGGTTCTTTGTGGAAACTAATTTATGAATATGATATCCCCCAAATAAGTCGACTACAGGTTGAAATTGTGACTACTACTCTTACCAAAAGATGGATGTTCTCTGTTTATTTCAAACAAAAGCATAGAATAATAATACAAATAATAAAAATAAAAATGTTAATAATTAGGAAGTGATTGAATTAGTTCACAATTATGAGCTCTAGTTTGTGTCAGTTCAGTATGTCTCCGACTCCAAAGTGACAGTAGTCTGGGGAGGACTTTTCTTGAATATAAATAATGATGTTCTCTTGACAAAAACTATTTGCATCCTTAATCATGGCATCGACTGCATTTACAGTATACTGTGTTAAGCACAAAACCGCATATTCCAGATTACAGAGTCTGGTAAAATATCACTAGTGCCTCACAAATGTATTCCTGCACAGTATGTGTCAGATATAAAATATGTTAAATGACTTATTAAATTATATCTATAGAAACTACGGATCCAAGGCACTTCTTCCAGTTCCAAAATGTTAAAAAGCCTTTATTCAAACATGGCTCACTCTAGAATGTATTCAATTACTTAGTAATTACTGAGTGGTTAATGTGTTTTTCACTTTAAACTAATGGTCCAGATCACTAGTAGTTCCTGCACGCTGACAAAGGTAACGCTTGAGTAATTAGTGAGAGGCTAATGTATTTTTCACTTTAAAGCTAAAGTGCTACTAAGGAACTACTAGTGATCTGGAGCATTATTTTAAAGTGAAAAGCACCTTAACCACTCAGTAATTACTCACAAGTAAATTAATAAGTTATTTAACATATTTTATATCTGACATACTGTACAGTCATACATATGTGTGAAGCACTAGTGATATTTTACCAGTAGGTCTTTTGGAGTGGGATACATATTGAACTGACACGAAACAGAGATCATAATTGTGAACTAATTCAATCATGAGCTTGTCAGCATCACTTCCTAATTATTAACATTTTTAAGTGAATTATCATTTGTATTATTATTCTATGCTTTTGTTTGAAATAAACAGAGAACATCCATCCTTTGGTAAGAGTAGTAGTCACAATTTTAAAATGCAGCCAACTTATTTGGGGGATATCAAATTCATAAATTAGTTTCCACAAAGAACCCAATTGTTCACTTTTAATACGTTACTGTTGTGATTAGCAATTAATTGGTTATTCTTTAACTGGTCATAGTTCACAAGTAGTTCTCAACGAGGATATATTTATTTAATAATGATCAAATATCTAATAAGGAACTACCTTTTGTCCTAAATTTGCTACTACTTACTGCTTAGTTAATCTTGCTCCTCTATTAGTTAATAGTATTAAGTTAAGTGTTAATGTAGTAGTACCTATTACTTCCTGCATAGTTACTTGTTAACAACAGACCATTATTCTAAAGTGTTACCAGTAATTCTAACTGGAAGGCCAAATAGGCACGATTAAAGCAGAAGATAGTGCAAAACTGTTTTATTAATTATGGTATTTAATTTAATTTATTAAGTTGCCTACACTTACCATTTGATTTGGATATATTTGTATATTTATAAACGTCCGCAAGAAATGAAAACGTTGGTCTCTAATCATTTGAATAGATAATACATAATCATTTTATATTTATGATACCATTATAATAAATATGTTATGAATATTAAAAATATATAATAATAAATATATTTTAAATCATTTTTTATAAATATGTATTTTTAAATAGGTACGGATTCAAAAACAGAAGGATGTTACACATTTAAACGCTATGTTGTGCTGCAGGAAAATGAAATCATTTTAATGATTTTACCTAACTCGTGAAGCATTCCGTTCCCCAAAATATTTCTTCAAAATAAAAGTCCTCGTGCCCTTTACTTCGGAAATACGCATGCGCCTTTCTGCTTTCTCTACACGTGCAGCATGGAGTCTCCACGAGATGAATTAGATCTCGATCGGTCTCAGGTAAACCAGAAATATTTGATCATTTCCCCCCTACATATTTGTTAAATTTTCATACGCTTGATATATGCTTGTATATTTACGGTTTGGTGGGAACCTTGTAAAAATCTAGTAACAAAGTAACTTAGACTACTAGTTGGCTAACGGCTGTAGCCAAGCAAGCCAGTGTCGAAGTAGTTTAGATATAAAACATATAGATGTTATCTTTGCTGTTATTATTTATTAAATGTATGTGCCTCGTGCAGTTGCACTAGTTAAACAGTACATTTTGGTTACTGTCTTTGTAAAATGTTCTATGGCTGCTATTGACTTTGGGTATTAGAGCTACTACAGTTTGAAAGACGTTAATTTAGTGAATTACATGTTTTACAGGTAACTAAAGCTGTACAGGCATTACAGGCATGTCTAAAGAGCAGCTCCTCGTCCCAAAAGCTCTTCGAGAATGATAATCAGGCCATCTCTCTACTGTTAACTCAATGGAAAATCCCTAGAAAGGAGCAAACCATTCGCATGTAAGTATCTTAATGGGAAATAAATATAGAATTATTGATTTAGAGAAACTTAAGATAATTAAGTTTGATATTGTTCTTACCAAGTGTGTTTTGCCCTACAGTTCTTTACCCCATGGGCTGAGGACCGAATCAGGAGACGTGTGTCTCTTCACCAGAGATGAACCCAGAATGACCTCAGAACAGACAGTGAGATTCTACAACAAGTTACTCACAGAGAGAGGGGTCAAAAATGCCATAGAGGTATTTCATCTGTCTCATTGTTACAAGTTTACTAGATTTATGTGCGCTTCAGCAAACCCTTTCCTTCTATCTCTAGTGCTGGTCGTGGGTTAAAAAGTGCTAGAGTAATTCAGAGTGTATCCAGACGAGTCTCCTCCTCTATTGGAGCTTGTCTCTACAAACTTTGAAACAATCGCGACTTCCCAAGCAGGTCCATTTTATGTGACGATATGCATTATGAAATATGGCGTCATCTTAAATGTTTACAACAATTTTCGTGTGGTTAGGTGATTCCCTTCAACATGTTGAAAACTGAGTATAAGCCCTTTGAAGCCAAAAGGAGACTGCTGGGCAACTTTGATTTGTTTCTGTCAGACGCACGCATCCGACGCAGGTTACCCACCCACATTGGAAAGCATTTCTATGAAAGGAAAAAGTATGTTTGTTTCTAACTCTAAATACACACAAAACAGATGTTGACGATAGACAATGGTCTTGTTTTATGCCTGTGAAATTTTGACGTGACCACATCTTTAGCCTGGTAGAACATGTGCTCTTAAACTAATCACTGAAAGCGTTTAGTAGATAATTTGTGCAGATTTTCTGTATCTATCAGGGTTGTCTGTCATTGCGACATTGATTCAAGTTTTCTCTCTCTCTCAGGGCTCCTCTGTCGGTGGATCTAGAGAGTAAACATCTAGCCAGAGACATGGAGCGCCTCATTCAGGGCACCAGTCTCACTGTCTCAAATAAAGGCTCTTGTTGGTATGAACATTGTTTCTTTTTTTTTTGTGGTACACTACAGTAGGTTGAAGCACTACAGCAAACCATTTCCTGCTCTGTCACAGCTGGAAGTGGGTTAAAACTGTGCAATAATAACTCCTAGTGTATCCAGACGGGTATCCTCATCTGTTGGAACCTGTCCCTACAAACTATGATACATGAGTTTTTTTTTTCTTTTGTTTTAAATGCTTTGACCTGATGGTGTGGTTTACCATTACAGCATGGTACGTGTAGCACATTCAGGCATGACAGCAGATGAGATGGTTGAGAATGTGATGACAGCGGTTTCCACCATCTCAGCAAAGTTAGCAATGGTGAGTAAGAGTTTTGTGTACGTAACCAGCTCTTTCTTTTCGCAGTATCATTTACTATTCATTATTTTCTTTGCCTATTCTTGTGTTTTTAACAGGATGATGTATGGTTCTGTTCCTCAAGTTTTGACCTACAACCTATACTCTGTTTCACTCTCAGACAGGAAAAAACATAAAAATCATCCATTTGAAGAGTCAGACCTCAGTTGCGCTGCCCGTCTACACCTCTGACCTGAGTCATCTTGCAGTGGTGGAGGAGGCCCGGAAGAAAGCCCGTTTAACAAAGGTGAAGTTGCTTAACAAATGCAAAACAGATATGTGGCCAAAAATAGTTTTTTTTTTTTTTGTTTGTAAAATGAGAAGTCATTCATTTTACACTTTAATTTTTAGGGAGCAAAAAAGAGGAAGAGAGAAAATAAGAATACAGAAGTGTCCGATCTGAAAACGAAAGAAACCGAGGAAGAGAAAGACAGTATAGAAGAGGAAATACCACAGCTGGTGCCAATCGAGATGCCAACCAAAAAGCCAAAACAGGAGGTCAGCGTCTGTCTGTCTAACAAGGGACAGATTATAAAACCGATATTTACACTGCATTAATGTGTTAATGTCATAGTGGTGTTGTATGTGTGATGATTTTTATTTTAAATGAAATCTTTTTATTTTTATTTTTTTGCAGACCATATCTAAAAAAGGACTGAAAAAAGTACCGAAGCCTGCTGCTGGCAAAGGACTAAAGAAAACTGTAAAAGACACAAAACTGACCAAGAAAACACCAAAGGTCACAGCACGTGATCTGAAGAGAAAAGCTAAAAACAAATAAAAATGTAAATGTAAATGCAATTAATGTGCATCTTTCTCATCCTGCTAACCGTTTATATGGATATGTATGGAGCA